CTTATTATAAAAATAGGTCAGGACCTTTGTATGTGAGAGCAGGGACTAAAAGTACTCTAAATTTTTTATATGCATAGACTCACAGCACATATATTTACATCTGGCTTCTTCACTAGGCATAACTTTGACAAGAATCATGCAAGATGTGACACCAGTTCATAGTTCATAATGTGTACTGCCAACTAGTACTCCCTTGTATGGACACACCACATTGATTTCTCCATTCGCTGCCAGACAGATATTTGGGTTGTTTCCAGCTCATGCATTAGGTGCATGCTTAGCTTCCTAAAGAATCTCTAATCTCCTTTCCAAAATCATTACACAATTGCACATGCCCACAGTGTTATTTTTTCATGTCTTACCAATTCTTGGTACTCCAACTTTAACTTACAGAGTGACAAGTCATCAATGTGGCATGCTATAAATGGCTATGAAGGGCCAGGGATATATGCTCAGTGGCATAAGCACCTGCCTGGCAAGCACAAGGTCCCAAGTTTAAGTCCTTGCACTGCAATAAATAAATAAACTACTAAATAATATTCAGGCTTCTAGTTTCTGATTGTGCTAGGTGTCTGCAACTATTTTTATCTTTTTTCTGTATCCCTTTGCAATGTTTTATAGTTTTCAGTGTATTTGGCTCTGATGAGTCTTTGATTTGATCTTAGCTCATCTAAAATCAAAACCCACTACAATTCACAGGGATCAGCGGAAGCCAGGAGATTCCCGGGTCAGATATGAAAATCCCTTTTGCTCACAATACAGCATGTAGTATAAACAACTGCACATATGCATCGGTTCGCCTGGGGATACATCCCATCACGGTGATGTTAACAGATTCCTACGAGTGCTACACACGCACACAGTTGGGGAATACAGAGCTTAGGATCTCCATTACTTTTTTTAAACAACAAGCAAGCTTTCCCACTGGCCGGTCAGCAGACATTGCCTCATTTTTCAAGGTTACAAGACATAGTTATACCAGGGGAATGGCACAAATAAAAGAAGGCTCTAGATCTTTGCCATCTTGTCTGCACATCTCTCATCATATTTATCTCCAGGCAGTTTTTAGGTTGGAAATGTTCTTAAACTCCACTTTCTAATAGCACACATGAACAAAATTGCATTACTGACCTCATATTCTGCAACCTCACCGAACTCACTTCATTAGTTCTACATGGATTCCTTAGAACTTTCTACATAGTGACTACAAGATTTGTGAGTAAAGGCAATTGTACATCTTCTTCTCCAATGCAATCTTTTATGACTTATTCTTGCCTGTTTTACTCAGCTGGGACTGAGTAAAACAGGCAAGAATAAGTCATAAAAGATTGCATTGGAAAAACACACTGGAAAGCCACCAGCTGGGACTCCTGTGGGAAAAGCCTGGTGTCACTTGCAAGGCACTGGGGAGGCTGACTTGGAGGCCAGCTGGGCATGGATATGCCTTGGGCATGGGTGCTCCTGAAACTCACTGGGGACGGGGGACCACCGATGTTCTGCAGTCGTCTCCCTGCCACACTCTAAACAGCAGGAAGAGTGAAAAGCACACAAGGCTGCGATGAAGCCCCTTCCTCAGACGGCGCCCTTAGCACCATCTACAGGAAAAAGTTAAACATTTGGTGTCGTTAGTGAAGAGAGAATCTTTACCCGGTATCACAAAGCAGGCAATGACGGGAATATTGGAAACTGAGAGCAATATATTTATAAAAAGAACAGCCCATGCTACTCAGGCCTCAGATGCCTCATTTTATCCACATTCCAACTCTATAAAGCAAACAAAAACTCAGTTTCCACTTTACGTTTTCAACAGCAATACTACTTTGTTATAGTAATTCTCAAATGAAGTCAAAATCACTGAATAGTCTGTTACCTAAATATTTACTTGAAAAATTAAATTTCCAGCTACTTTTATACAGAATATTTGGAAATAAAAATTGGTAAGCATGACATATATATGTCAAACAGAAAATATTCAAAACTTAAGTGTTGTAATTGAGGATGTAATTGAGCATGAAGCCACAAATATCTATGGATTGTTTCTTTTGCCACCTATTTCACCAATTTTCACTTGTCTGCAGCCAAAATACCACCTGGGAGGCATTGGTTAGCACATTCAGTGACGCAGGACTGTTTCACAAAAGAGGGGATTCTTTAGCAGATTTGCTTTTTTTATTTGTGTTTGTAGTCCTTCTTGGCCGTACTCAAATCCATTGCTTGGGCCCACTGAGCAATCCATCTTCCAGAGTGACTCAGTGGTGGCCTCATCTCTAAATTTGATACAATCTTTGTTTTGCCTCCTGGTGAATCCTGGGTTCTGAGGTCTCTAAATCAGCAGAGCTCAAATCGTTTGTCCAGGAAGCAATCATTTTGTCAGTGATTCTGAAAGGAAAATTGCCACTTTCTCCTTTTTATTTCCGAATCCATGTCCCCTGGGATTGGACAGAGCCCTGTACGTGAGCTGTATTCCAAGCACAGCCTATATGTGTCAGGACACCCATCCATCCTTTCAGATTACTGTAAAGTCAGCTGACTCAGTAAAGAGAGGCACTGTTATGGTTCAGACCTAAAATGTGTCCCAACAGTCCGCTTTGCAGGTGGGCCCTGGCTGGAAGCTGTGGGTGGCTGAGGCCGTGACCTGGCCGTGTGTGGCTTGTGCCTGGCTCCTGCCTCCTGCTATCCTTCCATGCTGGCTTCTGCACTGAAACCATGAACCAAAATAAGCCTCTCCACCCTCAAGCTGCAGGTGTGAGGTGTTTTTTGCCAGTGACAAGAGAGATTCTGCAGAAGAATGGGAACAGTGACCAGGAATGATGATTTGTGAAATGACATCATGGTGGTAAGGCTCTGTGGTTGCAAGGATGGTGGTGGGGTCACAGGCATCCTGAATGAAACAGGCAGATCAACATCCAGGATGTGCGTTTACTCCACTGTGGCTCACCATGTGCACCTTCCACAGCGACAAGGATTAATACAATCAACGGTCTATCAGGTCACTAACAAGGCCTCTCCAGGGAATGCGGTATAGGTATCGGAGATCTCCCTGCCTGTCTCTTCTGTTGGTGGATTAGGCATAAAGGAATTGCATTACAAGAGTAAGGCCATATGGTTAATTCTACAGCTGCAAGGTCTATCTCTGGCTCCTTCTTGCAAGAGACTAGTGAAGAAGCTCTGTGTGGTTCGTGGCATCCAAAGAGCACCTCACTCTATCAACCCGATTATTAAGTCTCTGCAGTAAAAACCCACTGATAGGCATTCGCTCAGGACAAAACTGTCTCCTAGGCCCTTTGCCCCCTTTGACACTTCCATTCGCATCCTTCTCCAGGCTTCTTTGTTGCTAATGTTTCACCCAGCCTGTCAGAAACTGGCCATGAGCAGCATTCTTCGTTGTCTGTCTCTCACCGCACACAAACTAGACAGCCAGCAGCAGCACTAGCCCCCCCCCCCCCCCCACCCCTCTGGGCCGCCCCCCCCCCCCCCCCCGCGCCCCCCCCCCCCCCCCCCCCCGGGAGAAATCTTAATCACCTCTGCTCTGCAGTTGGCCGAGGCAGCCCTGGGACACTCCAGCGGTCCACTTTCAGGTTCCTCCAGAATGTCACGCATCTCTGTTTGTACGCCAGGCTCAAGTCTGCTTCTTCCTTGGCAAACTGAAAGGAGCACTAAAGGAGAGCAGAGACAAGGACAGAGCAGGGAAAGGCAGGGCAATGGGTTTCAGGCTGAAGGATTTTGAATCATGCTGTAAGCTTTGGTAATTTAATTGAGTTTTCTAGAAAAGCCCCAAATTGACCCTCGGTTTGATAACACACACATACGTGATTTCATGTCCAGGTGAATGCAGTCAGTTGAAAATTGCTCCTCCAATCTATGCTCCTTAATCTATGTATGCTACCTTACATGGAAAAATTAAAGGTCATGAAGTTACAGAACAAGAAATGGGAGACTGTCTTGGATTACGCTGGTAGCAACTGCAGGCATCCTTAACAGGGGCATACGGGGACACCTGGCACACGGGGGCGGCAGCGGGGGCAGACAGCAGAGATCTAAGACACTAACCTACGGGTGCAGTGAGGCAGCCTCAAGCCAGAGCACAAGGCCGCCAGAACTGAAAAACAAGAAGCGGTCTCCTGCAGAGCTTCTGGAGGGCCCATGCCATCTGACACTTTTCAGTAACTTAAACACCTCGCCACCAACACTGTAAAAGAATAAATTTGTGTTGTTTTCAACCAGCAAATTTGTGGCAATTTGTTACTGTCACATCCGTAGGAAACTAATGCGCGATGCAGAGAAACAGCGCAGGACGGGCAACCGCAGGCTGTGCGGCGCCCAGGCTGCTCCGCAGGAAGCTTCAGGGGAGTCCCTGGCGCCCGCGGAGGGCCGCACGCACGCCGACCCACGCACGCCGACCGCACGCACGCCGACCACCACGCACGCCGACCGCACGCACACCGACCGCCACGCACGCCGAGCCGCCAGTCGCGGTGCGGCCCACTGCGGCTGCGCGCTCCTCGCCTCTCCGCTGCGCGGCCAGCACGGCTTCCCCGCGATTTACAAAACCCCAACTCAACGCTTGGCGAGCCACATTCAGCGACCCTAGCAGCACCGGCCCCGCGACCCCCTCCCACCTCAGCCACTGGGCCAGCTCTGTCTGAGGAAAGGCGGAGCAGCGCCGCCGCCAGCACAAACTGGAGCGCACCGAGCACGAGTCATCTCACGCTCCTTGCAGAGCTGTACAAACGTGACGCGCGTCCGCTCCGCACCCCTCCAGCTACCTTTCTGCGCAAGCGCATACAGCTGCTTCCGCTAGAGGCGGGGCTGGGGCTGGGGCAGGACATGGGCGGGGCTACTGGCGGAAGAGGGCAGAAAGTGTGGCGGGGCCTGGACTGGAGGCGGGCTGGGACGCAGGGGCGGGGTTACCGCTGGAGTGGAGGCCCAGCCAGCGGGGCGGGGCTTTTTTCCGAGTGGGCGGAGCTTTGTGGGTGGGCGGAGCTTCCGAGCGGGTGGGGCTGCGGCTCGGACCGCGGAGGGCGGGTGTGGGCGATGTGGTGCCTGAGGTTCGGGGCCCCGGGCGGGCCAGCTTCAGCCACTCCGGAGCTGCCGCCGGAGCGAGGCCCGGGCGCGGTGGGAGCTCGCCGCTTCCTGCTTGGCCTCTACCTGGTGGGCTTCCTGGTGAGTGCGGAACGCGGCGGGAAGAGGCGGGAAGCGCGGAGCTCGGACTGGAGCAGCACCCGGCTGCCCGGACTTGCCAGCGCAGCCCTGCCCAGCCCAGCCGGGACCTTGCCTCCGAGACCCTCGGGCCGGCAGCCGCGCCCCGGTGTCACCGCGAGGTGGAGCCGGCGCGGGCGCAGCCGTGTGTCCTGCGCAGCCATGGACGTGCGCTGCCCAGAGCCGCACCTGAGCGGAGGGCGGGTCCTTCCTGGGCTTCCTGGTTGGCTCACGTGTCCTGTGCGCGCCTTTCCGCCGGGCTGCACAGTGTGTGTAGACTGCACAGCACAGGTTCAGGTTCTGTTCCGTCCTGGGGTGTGTGTGTATGTGTGTCCGTCCTGGTTAACTCCAGAAATTATGTCCAGCGTGGACTGGGCAGCCAAGTAGATAGCAGCAACCATCGTCCATGTGTTCGTGCATCCGTCAATCCCGTGCTCGGGTGCCCTTCACCTCCTCGGCGCTGTGGAGCTCCGGTACTGTCAGATGCAGCTCCTGTGCCAGCGATGTTGCAGCCTTACAAAAAAGCTTGTGTCCTGCGCCTTCATCTGCAAAGGCCAGATTCTCCTCCTCACCCCTCCCTCTCCAGGCTAGCCTAGTGCTGTACCCTTAGCCCACCTGGGAGCTAGCCCAAGGTAGGACAGAGCTGGAAGGAGCAGCCCGCAGGTTTTCCTCCTTGGGCAGCAGAGCTGCTCAGCTGAGATGTCAGTGGGAGCCTGGGAGATCACCTCGATTCCCCAGGGCCCCACCGCATCTCCTCAGGCTGCCTTCCCTACAATTAGGAGTCAGGACACCCAGCCAGGTCAGAGGAGCACAGAGAGGTGGGCCCCGGACCCAGCCTCTGTTGGGTGAATAACTAAGGCCTTGAAGAAAGTGTGTTTCACCAAGTTGCTGGACACGCACAACAGAATTCTGTTACACTCAGAATTCTTCCCAGATGCAAGGCCGGAGAGAGCTGTTTGGGTCTCCGCGTGTGCGCCAGGCTCTCTCAGGCATTCTGTCAGTAGGCAGGTGTTACTAGACCCCTTTTTTACAGGTGACAAGAAACCTCTCCAGGGGCACACAGTGACCAAGTGATGGAGCTGGGGTGGAGATGTCAATCTGACCCAAAGCCCTGCTTTATTAGACTTTTGTGTGAAACACTGCCCTTCCCTGCAAGAGCCTACTCAGTGCCCAGACACCCTCTCTTGCTGCTGTCCTGAGACTTTTTTCTCAGCTACTGCCTGCAAGCCACTGACCAGGTTCTAGCATGCTAGTTGCCTTCTCTAAGACCAGAAAGAAACACTTATCTTTCAGCAAATGCCGCTTCATCCATAAATATGGACAATCCTGTGGCCTTCTTTTCTACTTCAGCATCTGAAGTTCCTTTATTTGATTTTCGTTTTTAATGGGAGGGACTTGGCACTGTTTTGAAACTTAAGGCTAAGAAGAAGCTAGAGATGAAATTGACCCTGGTCCAGGTAACCCAGGCATTTATACGTGGGGTGCATGAGGCACATTTCTTTTGGGGCCCTTCTGGCCTTGCCCAGATGAGGACAGGATACTTCAGAATACAGTTGCTATTTTCTGTTTGCTGAGGAGGTTAGATACTGGCTTTATTTTTGAAGTCATTTTATAATTTCAGGACCACCACTTTAAAATTTCTCTGGCCAGAGTTTCTAACCCAAGCCGTCCTTGTTTGTTTCCTCTTAGGATTTGTTCGGGGTCAGCATGGTCATCCCTTTGTTGGACCTTCATGCCAAGTCTCTTGGAGCAAGTCCTACTGTGGCTGGCATTGTAGGTGAGTGGGCAGCTCTGATCAGCTGCCGAGCACTGACTTCTAAGGCCTTGCAGACAGTTCACTCCTTATTCCCAAGTGATGTCCAAAGGCAAGTGGGAAACATGACAAGATGAATTTCTAAAGTAGTTTTAATGTTGCACTAAAGCACATGGATCTCCTCTGTAGTCTGGACTGCCCGTATTCCGAAAGGCTTGAGGATTGCCTGTTATCCCCACATCTCACACTGCCACTGATATGACCTGGACTGACTCTGTGTCCCCAGGAGCTAGCTGTGTGTGCTGAAGGGTAGGGGTGGCCCCTGCCTACAGGAACCCATTACCTGGCCGTGAGCACCAGAGACTTAATCTGCAGAGCTCACCCCTGCTGTGGAAGCTTGGGCCCAGCCTGACAAATTGGTCACAAGGTTCCTGTGCCTCCAGAACCATAGCCCAAAGGACCCTGGGTACCTTTAGGTTTCTACCTGACAGTCATCACTTTACAAATTGTGGAGGACCACCTGAGCAGCTCTCCTTGAAAGAAGAGCGACTATCTCCATTTTGACTGAGGCTGACCCTATTTCCTATGTACAGAGCTGGCTAGGACTTCTGTTTATCAGTTGGCCTTAGGTAAATGTAGGCCACCCACCCAGCTCAGCTCACAGTGATCACCTACTTCCCACAATTCTCAGTCAATCCTCCTCAAGCCACTCCCCCACTGAATAAAAACCAGGTGAGGCCCTGAGTCACTCTCTTGGTGCCAGAAAGCCAACTTCATGGCTGGACTTAGAGCCCCTTGACTCCTCGATGATTGAAAATATACTTTAGTGTCTTTATTTTCATCGTGGGTAGCATTGTAAGTGGTAGATTGGAATCAACTTGATGGCATCCCAATAACGTAACTTTGGGATTATAAATACTGGCCTTTTGGACCAAGACAAGGTCCTGGAAGAGTCTCCTACACAAATGATGCAGGACTTAGGGTTTAGAAGTTCACTGATTCATGAGAAATCCTTAGACTAACATCTCAGTTATTCACAAGCTGGACAAATAGATTTTGTTAGAAATGGTACAGAATTTCACTGAACAGAGTAATAGGAAGAAATGTGTTTTAAACTATACTAGACCAGGGCCAGGGAGATAGCTCAGCAGTCTAAGCACCTGCCTGGCAAGTGCAAGGACCCAGGTTCAATACCCGGTACTGCACACCATGCCAGTCCCGCCCTGCTCCCCTGCCCCCAGCTGCTGAAACCAGGCATGGTGGTGCACGCCTGTAATCCTAGTGCTGGGGAGGCTGAAACAGGAGGATCTCTATGAATGCGAGCTGTGTAGCGAGACCAGTACCAAGTACATAAATTTAAAAAAAAAAAATTATGCTAGATTACTAGCAGTATGGAGATTTCTAGGGAAAGCCGTGAGATGTACTGCATGGTAATGGAGGTAAGAGACTGTGGTAAAACCTTGTGGTTTCTTTATGAAATTAATACAAATATAAGCAGTGTGATCAATAATACAGTGGTTGTTTAATTTTTGAGAAAAGAAATATTTTAGGAAATGACACTCCCATTAATGCCCCTCAGAGTGCTCCTCTTTCTTGGAACATGCTTCTCCTATTGTTCTGGCCACTTTCTGTAGCGGTTCCGGAAGCGCTCCTTCATGAGTGTCTTTGCCTGTGCTGTCATGTCTGCCTTGATGTCCTGAATGCCTTGAAGACATCGACCTTTCATGGTGGCCTTGACGTTGGAAAGAGCTAGAAGCTGCACAGTGCCAGGTCCAGCGGATAAAGTGGACGATTTTGATCACGCCACATAAAGACACTCAAGAAACAGGACTCCTAAAGCTGGTTCAGAAAATCCAAGCATGATGAGATACGTGTGTTCAAAGCAGTGGGAGGATTTTGAGGGACTTCTGTGGCAGTGTATTTTTTTACTGTAAGAAAATGTTTAAAATGTGAACATTCACCATGTATTTTGCCCATCTCTTGAGAAATGATAAGAGATGAGTCATTGTTAAGATTTTAAGACTGCATAATTTTTCTAAGATTCGGCTGTCTTTGTTTTGGATTTAGTACAGGGTCTACAGGGTCTCATACACGGATGGGACTCGTAGTGATCCTCCTGTTTTCAGCCGCCCCAAGCGCTGGGATTACAGGTGTGCGCCACACTGTGTGCTGTTGTAAGTCGGAGCTATGCAGCTCTGATGGAGAGGAGAAGGGCTTTCTTCCAGGCCCCTGAGGTCGACCCCCACCTTTATTCCCCTTTGTCTTTACCTTCTGTTTTATTTTGAAGACTTTCTATCAAAAATACTATTACTTATCTTCTTCCAACTGGGAAAGGACGTAGATCAATTTCCTTTCCATTTTCTAAAACATCTGCTTTTCTGGTTGTTTGTTGATTGGTGTGTAATTGTTACTACCTTGATTCTTTTTGTGACACCCAACTTTGCTGATGTTGTTCCTGTTTGCTTGTTTTCTTTTCTGTTTATGGCAGGCTCCTCCTACGGCATTCTGCAGCTCTTCTCTAGCACCTTGGTGGTAAGTCATCCTCCTTCCCTGACGCATCTGGAGCTCGTGGGCCCACAGCCGAGGACCGCGCCTGGTGGCTGCACTCCCAGAGGGCTTGAGATTTACCAATAAGTAATGAGCAGATGGCTGGAGTATCCAGGATCCTCTCATTGTCCATTCTTTTTATTTGGTCTAAGAGAAGCAGGGGGCGGAAGGGGCTAGATGTCTTCTGAGGCACTGGGCAGATCTCAGCTAGACTTCAGCGAACACTCGGAAGCCATGTGTGTGTTGTAGTTCTGCATGTGGAGGATAGAGGTCCACAGCGACCCTGCCACTCTGCTTATGACCACGCCAGGGAGGAGTACAGAAGAAACTTCCTGCCCTCCCCCTTCACTCTCTGTTTTGCTAGCTGCTGCCACCACTCTGGTCTAGAGACCTCAGTGTCCCGTGGTCCAGCCCATGTCACACATGTCACTTTGGTCACATGGGTTGACCATTGGTGGCTGGGCTGGACCAAGCTGTCCTGGTGGTCTCACACGTAGTGAGCATGGGTGAAGTATTCACCTATGTTTCCTGGGCATTGCTTTACTGTAAAATGCATTTATTTATTTTATTTTTTTAACAAAAATTCATTTGAATTACCTACTGAACTCCCAAATGACTAAAGAGCTCCTTCCCTTATTGATTTTTTTTTTTTTTTTTTTTTTCTAATTCTGCTGTCCTTTTGAGCCAGGGCCTCCCTAAGCAGCTCCTTGTCCAGGCTGGTGTGGAACTCTCAGTCCCCTTGCTTCAGTCTCCCAAGTGCTGGACTTACAGGCATGTACCACCACACCCAGATTTGTCCTTTTTAAAAAAGTATTTCCTGCATTAAATTTACATAAAGATAACAGCTTTATTCTCATTTAAGCTCTAACAATCAGGCAGTGTAGCTTGGCATCTATATTCCTCTAGAAGAAAATTAAGAATTCCAGAATTTCAATACTCTGACCAAATCACCTGGCTCAGTACCCAGATATTGCTTATCTGCTGTACTGTTTTTATGTTGCTTTGTTTTTTGGTACTGGGGATCGTACTCAGGACCTTGTACTTGCCAGGCAGGCACTGAACTATATCCCCAGCCCCTGAGCTATAGCCCCAGCCCCTGAGCTATATCCCTAGCCCCTACTATGCTTTTTTTTTTTTTTTTTTTTCCCCCTGAAAGTCACCTGCCATTACCTTAGCGATCCCAGGCAGTGGACAGACCTCCAGGATTTCAGGCTCTGGTATTTCATGGCTCTTAGGCTTTTCAGTTGATACAGTGAAGAGATAGGAAAGGTAGACACCTTTATTGGCTCCAAAGACATGGAGGGGATTGAGTGCACGGGGGATCCTCTGACCTGAGACAAGGAGAGCTGAGACTTGTATGGACTTTGCTAGGGGTGGGGCTTGAGGGGCAGGGCCAGTTACATGTCAGGAGCTGACTGGGGTCTCCCCTGTGTGCGCGGGAAAGGTGAGAGGAAATTATATCCAGAGCTGGATTGGGGGAGAAGAAAGAGGGGGTCTCTGGGAAGATAGCTGCTGTTTTCAGGGCTTCAGCCATGTTAGCTGACGACCGTGGTAATTCAGCAGTCCACTGTAGGGCCAGAACCTATCGAGTGATGCTCTTGGGAGGAAAGCTTGGGCCGGACCTCCTGAGCCCTGTGCCGTGCAGGGCAGGCCCCTCACATGTCCTTGTTGTGGGTACGGGTCACAGCATCAAGGCCATGGGACACATTAGTGCTCCTCCCTTGCCCACTGGCCTCTCACCTCCTTGGCACAGGACCAGGCATGAGTGGTCAGCATTTGTCACCAGCACTCACCAGGGCACCTGGCCCAGGGTCAGTGTTGTACATTGTGAGTTTTCCTTGCCATCCCTCGCCCTGTGTGCTTCTCAGGTGGATCCTAGATCTTCTGCTTGTGCCTGCAAAGCCTATGATACTGTGTATCTTGGCTGAGTTGGAATTTAGTGAAAGCCCTCCTTGCAGGATCTTCAAATAAAGAAATACCTGGTCCCAATTTTCTATTTAACCAATGCTGTGATAAACTTATATTTTAATCATTATAAGTTTTTTTAAAATGTATAATTTAAGAAGAAATGTTTATGAAGAAAGATTGTGACCTGTTAGATGTAGTTAATGTTTTTGATGTTTTTTCACAAGAGTAGCAGGCATTCGTGCAGTATGTGTTGTGCGTCTTGCCCAGTTGGAGCCTCTCTAGTTGTCACAGTAATGAGCCTGGGGGCTGGTGGGTGTTGCTGATGACCCACTTTATATGAAGCTCCAGGTGTTGATGCTCTAAGGCCTGGAAGGGGAGACACTCTGAGGTGAGAGAGGGCAGAAGCCACGCGTGCCTGGGGGTGGCCCAGAGCCGAGGGGCGTCCAGGCGCAGCCAGACTGCCAGCCAGTGGTACTGTCACCACCCCAGGAGGCCGAGACTGCCCACTCAGAAATAGGGGAGATTTCCAAAATCCTCTGAAAAGAAAGAGACCGGGATCAGGGACTTTTGTAGACACTTGGCAGTACTGTGGAGGCTTTCCCTCTGGAGGTTCCCCAAAAAGGTTCATGACGGCTTATGTCTTAGATCCTCATGGTCTACTCACACGTGGGGAGATGGGGAGGGCTGCGAGCTGCGCAGCTGGCATGTGGTGGGCAGAGGGCCCGGTGCCCCAGAGCTCAGGTGGCTGTCACGTTGACCTGAGGACAGTGCCTTGTTGTGACAGCATCCATGACCCGTCCCTGCCCACTCTCAGATGTGTCCCTGTGTCCCCACACAGAGTTCAGTTGGTTGTATTTTGTTGTTTTCTGTGTTTTACTTTGTTGAGACAGGCTCTCACTGTGTAGCCCAGACTGGCCTTGCCCTCCCCGCAGTCCTCCTGCCTCTGCCTCCCAGGTGCTGGCCCTCCAGCCCTGCGCCACCATGCCCAGGCCTGCAGTCCTCCTGCCTCCGCCTCCCGGGTGCTGGCC